TTTTCCCGAATCGCCTTTCATTTGGCGCGACGGCTGTTCGCCAGATGGGTCTGTTTCCTAATTTATATTTATATATGTATATATTCCTATTATAGTTATATTAGGAGAATATAAATCTGCGAGAGGAAAGAATTTTTACTAATTAAATCTACAGGACGTAACACTGGCAATTAGCTGCCAATCCGAAGTGTAAAGGTAGATTGGGTTAAACTGCATAGAAAAGTAAAAATACAATTTTGCAAGAATCGCAATAATCGAGTTATTAATGATAGAAATCTGACGAATGTGTGCGCGCCAAAATGGATGATGGAGGAACGTCGTAGCCTCTCGAGCTATAGTGCGGCCCAATCGACCTAGCAACGGTTGGCGGCGTGCGGCGAGACAGGTGCAGCGAGATAAAACATAAATAATGGCGCGTCCTTCTCCTCGCCGCGCATCGGCAACAATTGCTGAATCGACTCTAGCCCGAGCAGCTGCAACACTTTTCCAATTATCTATGTCGGCGCGCTCCCACTCCTCAGATTTCTGTCATTAATAACTCGATAATTATTGTGAATCTTGTAAAACGGTATGGGACTTTTATGTTTGTTTTAATCCAATCTACCTTCACATTTCGGGTTGGCAGTTAATTACCGGACATCCTATAACATATTGTCTATAGCATATAGTACTACACTATATTACAGTAGGAGACACGGTAGTGTTTCGCGTCAAATATGCGGTAATAATAATAAGATCGGCTATATATATCTACGTGAAATTTTTAGTTTATTAGAAGCCAGATCATTACATCACTTAAACAGCAAAATCAGATTATAGTTGGTATCAAAAGAATCAACTCTTTGGGATCCTATTACATATAATAATTACGATTAGTTTTGCTATATATACCTTATAAACGGAAATATTTTAGTTTAATGTTCGAATTGCAAAGATTTTAGAATTTAGATTATCGTGGGTTATTTGAAGAGCTTGTATGATTCCGAGTCCAAAATAGATGGTGACGTTTGTTTCTTTTGCATGTACGTACGAATAACAGAGATAAATAGAAAACAAAAGACATAAAGTCTTTCACTATTTGCATAATATAAGATCAATATTGCAACTTATGTTTGGTTCGATATTACAATATGATAAGAGACGTAGTAACGTCTTGCCAAATAAACGCACAATGCGAAACGTATTAAGATTAGTTATACATATTTACGTATGTTATAATGAGAGAAAGTGAAATTCGCAATGAGAAAACGCGTTTCCAACTTTATACCGCGGATAGTGCGCTCGGTTGAAGGATGCGGCAACATTGCAAGTAGCTTGAGTTCCTGTCAGACAATTTCATCATAGAAATGTCATATAGAAATGTATTTAAAAGCGGAGACAATTTTATTTTCGATGAGGAGTCGATTGTTATAAGAAGATTGGCGGATGATTTTGTTACAATGTATTAATGTTCTTTATTAGGTGTTTGCAGTTTATAAGATCACAAATAGATGGCTATAACAGCGACTTAATAATTATATTGCATTATGGTATTTTTTAATTTTTAAATGTTGACTATACTTTATCAGAATGAATGGTTGATAATTTATAGTTCTCAACAAAATATCAGTTTTAACACCATTAAAGATGAAATAGATAAAGTTCATCTTCGCTATTGCATGCCTTATCATTTTATTCAAGGTTAAATTGCTGCAATAACTAATAAATTGATTTATTAGATTTATGGAAAGAATATTGTGTCCATTACTTGCGTGCTGTCTGTGAGAAGTGGTTTAAAATATTTAGAAATGATGAGTATGATGTTAACGACTAGTCATATACGACTAGTCTAAATGGAAACATTGTTCAACGAAAACTCCGAACATTAAAAAGCAGTTTACATCGCAGTTTAAAATTAATAAATTAATAATATCCTATTATTTGGAAATAATAGAAAAAGTCTAGAAAGAAAGAAAATGGCTGACCCTGAACTCTCTGCAAACATGATTGCGAACTAGTTTATTATTTATCTCTTATTGCTTGCCAGGCATAGAAAAAAGTTATTTTGTGGCAAATTGGCTGATAAAGTGGACTTATTTTAATAATTCTAAAAGCAAAAGGTCATGGATTGATCCTGATCAACTATTAATATCCACAGCAAAACGTAACATCCACGATTATAAATTCCTCTTGTGTATCTAGTAGGATCAACAAGGTATATTTTACTATGAGCTATTACCGAGGCAAATAATCACAGTAGATCACTATAGTCAATAGTGATGGAGTGTAGATCAAGGAAATGAAAGAAAAACTCAAATAATTGCGAATTAATGCAGTCATCCTATTTGATAACATCAGGTCGTATATTATCGATTGTGACTGAAGAGATGTTTGAGATAGATTGGGAAGTTCTGCTATTTTTTGTCACATTTTTTATCAGATGTTCTATTAAAGATATCAAATGATCCTTTTACAGCAAATTTATTAGGTTGGTGCAAAAATAATGTCGGTTTTTGTATTCAAATTTCTCTTTTAAAATCCTAAATCTATTTTTATATGAAGATGGCTGTACTATATATCATTTTAAAGCGCAATTTTCGCTCTACATTTTCGACGGCAGGCATTTGTTTTTATTCATAATTAGTTTTGCGTTTTGGATGTCGAAGAAACGATGGATAAAAACAGTTTCGTGCAATTTTTTTTATGTGAATTCAAATTTGGCTGTAAAATGACGGAAACGGTACGCAATATCAATATCGCATTTGGACAAGTGTAAACGAGCACATAGTTCAACGTTGATATGGAAAATTTCGTGAAGGGGATGAACGTCTTGATGAAAATGAGTACCGGGGACATCTATCGACAGTTGATGACGATTAACTGAGAACTAACTGAGAACAATAATCGAAGCTAATCGGCTCAAAACACGAGAAGTTACAGAAGAACTCGGGGTTGATCACTCGACTATCGTTCGGCATTTGGGGGCAAAAGGGGAAGGTCAAACAGCTAAATAAGTGAATTTCACGAAATTGAACCAAAATCAGATGAATAAGCGCTATAAGGTCTGTTTTGCACTTCTTTTGTGCAACGGAAACGACCCATTCCTTGTGACATGTGATGAGAAATGGGTTCTGTATAATAATAAACACCATTCTGCACAATGGTTGGATAAGAAACGCCAAAACATTTTTCAGAGCCAATCCATATAGCAAAACTTGATCCTAGATATGTCCAATAGATGTATTACAAGGGATTTAGTGGGGTAGAGAATACATTCGTAAAAGGCCGAAATATATACATAAGATGTACCGAGGACGTCTCTATGCCGCTCACTAAACATCCAGAAGAAGTGATACGTGAATGTCATGAGGATTTAAATTAATTTTAATTTAAATAGGTTACAATTAATTTAAATATCTGTCTTTATAATAATTTAAATTTAAAGTGGCTTGGTAGGGATTATCTAAATGTATAAGTACTAGATTAATTTGTAAATTTAATAATAGATCCAAAATTATTAAAAAATTAGTTATATTCTGTTCGTGGTCTTAATCATTATGTTTTTATAAAAAATTATCCGATATGAAAGAAATAAAGTATCTAATATTGAAAGAAATAATAAAAATTATCTAATATTGAAAGAAATAAAGTATTCAAAGATTAAAACATCAGAAGATATATTATTTACAAGAGCTGTTTGGTAAGTTTCAAGCCTAACAATGAAACATTTATATTTTCAACAAAATGGGTTTTATTTTTCAATATATTCTCCTTCTAGCTCGATATATTTCGTCCATCTCTTTTATAGTCTGTCAGCAAAATAAGTTGGATTATGCCCTGCAAAATATTCCTTTACGGCGGCGATTACTTCCTCATTGATCGCGAAATTTTTCCTCTCAATCATTTCTTCATGTTCGGAAATAAAAAATGTCGCAGAGTGCTAGATCAAGTAAATGGGGGGAGGGGTGGTTCGTGTCGTAATTCGTAATGTAATTCATGCAATTTGGCCATGACGATTGCAGATACATGGGGTGTGTTGTCCTAGTGAAAAAACACCTTTTTCTTCTTCAAATGCGGTTTTTTTTACGATTTCTTCTTTCGAATGTTCTAATAATAATGCATAATATGCGCCAGTGATAGTTCTTCCTTTCTGAAGATAATCGATGAGCAATATGCCATGGCTATCCCAAAAACCAGTTGTCATAACAGTTGTAACTTTTCTGACCGAATAAAACATCTTCACCTTCTTCGAGCAGATTCGCCTGGTGAAGTTCACTGTTTTGACTGTTCCTTACTTTTCCTTGTCGAATGTATTTTTGGTCCAGTATCAACAAATATGGCACCCATCAGCTTTCTCATATCCAAATCTTCATATAATCTTTTGAATACACATTCAGAAGATATGCCTGCGACATCTGCTATCTTTCTGACTTTCAGTCTCCGAACGTCCAGTACGATTTGATATACTTTGTCGACTACTTCCTTAGTCGTTGTAGTTTTTGGGCGACCTGGACGTTTATCATCAAACACACTTATATGGCCACGTTTAAATTCGGTAACCTAAACTTTCACCGTTGAAAATGAAGGAGCAGAGTCACCGTAAACAGAAGCCAACTCGGTTTTGATTTTTGTTGAAATTCCCTTTTAGATTTAAGTATTTAATCACAGAACGATATTCGATTTTTTTCATCATTGAAAGTATACTAATACACGTATAACTGATTGTCAAAACAAAACTAAGCGTTATATATGACTGAACATTTGGGAGCACTTATTAAAAAAATGTAGTTTTGACAGCTCACAGCAGTTTCCGACCAGTAACATTACCTTCATGTTTAGGCTTGAAATTTATCAAACAACATATGTCCTACGACTTTTATTTTGTAGTTGTATAGTAATATTTATTTATAATAATCTGCTGTAATGTAAATATATATTATTTAGTTTATTATAAATAGAATATTGATATTTACGATTTGCAACTTATATGATTAATAACAATTTTAAACTTAAATAAAGGAGGAAAGACAAAAAAAATTCAATGAGATCGAGATATATAGAAGCGAGCGCATAAAGAAGCGACAATACTTGCGTCAAATGGCAATTCAACAATTTTATAAAAGTATGCAGATGCTGCAGGCCAATGCAAAACGCGAAAAAAACGAGCCCTTTGAGGATTATGCAATTTCGTTGTACCGTCAAACTGCACCAGATTTCAAGGAACGAGTAAAAGATTTAGAGCAAAAAATACTCTATCCAGTAAGCTCAACAATAAATATAGATGCTTGATTGTTTTTTTATCTGCCGATCTGGTGTGCATTTTTTATTCGTCGACATACAGGGTTGTCCATTTTATTTAATCGAAATATTTTGTCAGGTAAGCCAGATCGTGAAAAATGTTTTAAATAAAAGTTGTAAAGGTCAATGGGAGACACACACTGATGATCTTGCGGTCAATTTTCAAGGTTATCTGAAAGTCAACTTTGATTTTTCAAATAGGAACCATTATTTTTGACTCCAGAAATGAAAAGAGCGGAAAATTTTAGGTTCAGATAGATAAATTATGATAGGAATCCCATGACATTTAAAGATCATTTTAAAGCTAAATACATATCAGTAAGATTTCATATCGTGGTATTATTGGGATGACGTCTGTTTGGATAACGTTGTGCTTAAAATCTTGCAGCTACTATGTGATTTCCACTACATTCTCCTAAAATCTGAATCATATCAACAATCTCATTCGGAGGATAATCAGCCATTATTTGAAAAAACTTTTCTATGGTTTTCTATTACACTGCAATTTTCTAATTTACTATTTTAATATACCAGGAAAATAATGTATCAGAATTAAGTAAATTTCCGCAGTTGCCATTTCTGGTGTCAAAATTGGAGATTTTCATTTGAAAAAATCACATAGACCTTGAAGTGACCTTAAAATTTGATCTGAAGGTCGAAGTCAAGGTCATCAGTAGGCGACCCCTTTTAGCCTCTACAACTTTTGTTTAAAACATTTTTTAATACCTCCTTTACGTTACGAGTTGTTTGAGGGCATTGATAAAAAATACATATTTGTCTTTAAAATAAATGTCATGGGACTTCTATCATAATTTATCTATCTGAATTAAAATTTTTCGCTCTTTTTATTTCTGGAGTCAAAAACAGTGGTTCCTATTCGAAAAATAAAAGTTGACCTTCAGATAATTGTACCTTGAAAATTGACCTAAAGGTCAAAGTCAAGGTCATCAATGCGTGTCCCCCATTGACCCCTACAACTTTTATTTGAAACATTTTTTACAATCTGGTTTACCTGACGAAATATTTCCGATTATCGATTAAAATGGACCACCCTGTATATAGCATCACATTGTAGTTTTAAAATATATTTAACATGATAAAATAGTGTTTTCTATTAATATGTTTATTATTAAGACTGCTGATTGTGTATTCTAACTCACGTTGATTAACAAGATGGTTCATTAACAAAATCTTTAAATTATTAATGTAAACTTAGCTAAATTTATAATTTGCTTTATTTAAATTATAATAACAAAATTTGATCTGTAATTTTTAAAATAAAAGGATGTATATTTACAATTACCAATGATTACAATAAATGTAAAAACAATTTACATTTTATTACTTACTAATGAGATGGTTATATAAGTGAAAACATTTAAATTATTTGCAGACAAATTTGTCGATATTTAAATTATTTACAAGGAATAATATTGCAAGCAAATAACAGAATAAGTTCCATTTGATTTTGCTAATTTAGTTTTGCTAGCTTAGAAAAGGTATGGAAAATATATAAAGAACAATGGATAAAATTGGCCGATGGATGGATGGCCCGATTTAGGCCCATCGTGGAAAATGAACAAAACATATCATTTTTATAGGATTTTAACCTGCTGAACACGATGCCGTCGTTAGTTTTCTAAACTCCAGGGAGCATGTTTAAATTCGAGAATTTATCATCCAATATTCGAATAGCCTGGAAAACCTTTGCGTAAACTTTGAAGCTATTGCAAATTCGTGTATTAACTAAATTAGTTGAAAACAGTTTAGATTTTCGATTTAGAAATATTTTCGATTTAATATTTGAAGGTGTTTTTTTTTTTATGCAAAGGAGGATGCTAAAATATGTCGATTTTGGCCCCCAAAGGAAAAGTGAATAAACCTTGAAAAATCATTGTTTGGGTCCTCAGATGACAGGAAATAACAATTATTTATCCGACCAGTAGGAAACATTGCAAGAATAAGGTCTGAATATAGTAAAAAATGTTATTAGCCAAAAACTTACAATTACTGATTATTCTAGGCGGGTCATACTTCCATATGGTTCTTTATAAGTCACTTATAAGTCACACCTTATAAGTCACACAACGGTGTATAGAAAGAACAACTTTAAATGATGAAAATATTGTGGCGTACGGTATAAATAACACATCACTCAATAAGTTCGTAGGATGACTAATAAATCAACTTTTAGGCAAAATTTGACTTTATTCATCTACATAGTCTCCTTCAAGAGTGCTACATTGATTCCAACGCTTCTCTAACATTTCGATGTCTTTTTTGTAGAACGATTTATCTTTGGCCTCAAAATAGGCTTCAGTTTCGGCAATCACTTTTTCATTGGAGCCAAATCTCTTTCCCTGGAGCATTCTTTTTAGGCCTGCAAACAGGTAGTAGTCGCTGAGAGCCAGATCCGGAGAATACGGTGGATGGGGAAGTAATTGAAAGTGCAATTCGTGCAATTTTGCCATTGTTGCGAGCGACTTGTGATACGGTGCATTATTCTGGTGAAAGAGCACTTTTTTCTTCTTCATTTGGGGTCGTTTCTTCGCAATTTCTTCCTTCAAACGCACCAATAACGCCATATAATATTCAGTATTGGTGGTTCTTCCTTTCTCAAGGTAATCAATGAATAAAATACCTTGCGCATGCCAAAATACGGAGGCCAAAACCTTACCAGCTGACATTTGCGTTTTTGGTCGCTTTGGGCGGGTTTCGCCGGTTGCTGTCCACTCAACTGACTGTCGATTTGACTCTGGAGTGTAGAGATGGATCCATGTTTCATCCATTGTCACATACCGCATCAAAAAATCCTTTTTATTGCGCTGAAACAGCTCCAAACAGCCCGCTGAATCGTCGACACGTTGCTGTTTTTGATTAACTCTGAGCAAACGCGGTACCCACTTCGAACAGAGCTTCCTCATGGACAAATGTTCATGCAAAATGGTGAATACACTGCCTTCTGATATCTTTAAGGTGTCAGCTATCTCACGTAACTTCAATCGGTCAAAACTATTTTATGGACTTCTTTTATGTTTTCTGGAATAATTGCCGAATTTGGGCGATCAGAGCGTTCAGCGTCATCGGTATTTGTACGGCCGCCTTTAAAATCAACAAACCATCTTTACCATTTGTCTCGATGGAGCAGAGTCTGAATAACACTTGTCAGGCCATTGCTTTGCTTGAACGGTATTTTTTCCCATTAAAAACCAATGCTTTATTAACGCGCGAAACTCAGATTTTTCCATTGTTTTCAAAATTAAAACAGTAGCGTCACTAAAACCACTGTAACTTGTGAATTAAACGTCCGATTGTCATGAAATTTTGACACGTATCATTTGAAGGCTAGTACTTCCTAAAAATCATATGGATTTGTCAATAGTAGCGCTATCTATATGCCGTCCTATGAACTTATTGAGTGATGTGTTAGTCGTTCGGTAGTAGGCTCAGCGAGAGTGCGCTGCGCCTAATGCCGCGTCTCCGGTCGTCGGCCGCATCGCAGGCCGTTTGATCTTTCGTATAGTATAGTATAGTAACATTATATATTCTCAATCAACAATTTTTTTTGTTCTTGAAATTGCATATCACCGAATGTGAAACAAGTCAATAAACTATACTTTACCTTCAGGGTGTGTTTCTTCCGGATGGATACCGCGTCGTAATTCAGCTTTGTGCCCACGTTTCGCAATCATTGCAGCTTGCATCATTAGGGCTAGGAGCTCCGATACTGAGTCTTCCTGGTTTGTGATTGTCCTTATATACTCTTCCATTCTTCTAAGCGGCGGTTGGGAGAAATGGGGAACAGGGTGGGGGAAATGTTTCGACCAATCATATTAATTAGCCAGCTGGTCAATTAAAAAATATCCCAACAATGTTAACCGAGATAAGAATCTTCAGGTGAACCCTATTTGGTACGCTGTCCTCCCGGTCTTTTAATTTTTTAATTAAAGTAATTCTGAAGAATTAAGAGATAGATGAGGCAAAGTGTTGTTTATTGACTTGTTTCACACTCAGTGATATGCAATTTCAAGAACAAAAAAAATTGTTTATTGAAAATTCAATGAGAATGTATTGGGTGAGTGCAAAAGTTCGTGCGGAGTTTCAATAGATGGAGTTATAAGCGTCGTAAAGTGTTGTCATTAATACTTCCATCTACATATTATATAACGTTGGAAAGGTGACGTCTTCAGCTGTTATTAAAAAAATATAATGTTACTATATGGAAGAGCAAACGGCCTGCGATATGCCGACGACCGGAGACGCGGCATTAGCGCAGCGCGCTCTCGCTGAGTGTGTTTCCGTACGACTACTTGTGCCGTATGCAACAATAACTTTATTTTTATAGTTTTATATTTAAAGTTGTTCTTTCTATACACCGTTATAAGAGTGGCTTATAAGGAACCATACGGAAGTGTGACCCGCCTAGAATAATTAGTAATTGCAAGTTTTTGGCTAATAACATTTTTTACTATATTCAGACCTTATTCTTGCAATGTTCCCACTACTGGTCGGATAAATGATTGTTATTTCCTGTCATCTGAGGACCCAAACAATGATTTTTCAAGGTCCATTCACTTTTCCCTTGGGGGTCAAAATCAACAATTTTTTGACATCCTCTTTTGCTAACAAATAATATATGATGTCACAGATGTCACATGATGTCACAGATCACCCATATTTCGGGGAGGAAATGCCGACGTAGTTTTCCTGACTCCCCCACTCCGGTCCGGCTGGTAGGCACCCCGGTGGGGTTTTAGCCGGTAAGAGTCTGGCATAACCCCCCTCCCCCAAGGGGCGGGGGTATACATGAGGATTTCCCCATTGTTAACAAAAAAAATTACCCGTATCACTCGATTTTTTGTAAACGTGACATTTTAGGGAAAAATGTTTCTAACAAAAGTTGTATGGTTTGAAAGAGGACATAGCAACTATACCATTTTGTTCATAGATGGCGCCACTTT